GGGGGGGTGCTGGTGAGCGGCAACCACCAAGAATAGGTCCTGTACTTGTGGAGGTTAGGAGACTGGACCATCAGGTGGGCCTAGCCCTTCCTTCGGGTGGGCCCAGCCCTTTCTTCATTTCCCTCCACACTGTTGCCCCTAGGGTGGATGGCAAGGAGCTGCCACCCAAAAGCTGGCGGGAGCCTAAGCCTGAGTATGGGGATTTTCAGCCAGTGTCTTCTGACCCCAAGAGCCCCTGGTCAGCCTGTGGACCCCGAAATGGCCTGGTGGGCCCTCTTCAGGGCTGTGGAAAACCTTCTGGGAAGGTAAGTTCTTGAGGTAGGGACTGGCTTTCTGGCCCTGCCACACCTCTTATTCCTGAAAGGCTCCCCTTCCCTGGGACCTGGAAATGGTCACGGTCTGCTGCATTTCTGGTCACCCCGGGGTGGGCATGGGGGCTTCTGGAAGGTGGGGCAAACTGCATGGACCACATGGGAAAGGGGCTAGAGTGGAATGGAATGGACTCAAGTTTCTTGTATCCACAGCTGAGCAGTGAGTCCGGAAGGCGGGAAGAGATCCCCTCTGAGGACAGCCTGGCTGAGCCAGTGCCCACCTCACACTTCACAGGTCAGGAGCTAAGTAAGGATGGGACCTGCCCACTTGGTCCCTGGTCTGCCTTCTTCCCAGAGCTTGGGGCAGCTAGGGGGGACATAGCAGGGACAACTGGGCTCTGGTTCTGTAAACTGAGGTTGTTGGGCCAGGAGAAGCCCTAAAGAGCAAGAGCGTGGTGCCTGGGTTGGGACAGGAAGCTGAAAGAGGAAGGCAGAGGTGGTGGATCATAGCCTCGCTTCCCTGACATTACTCTCCCCTACCTCCATACCCCAGCCTGTGGCTCCTTGACTCGAACCCTGGACAGTGGCATTGGGACCTTCCCGCCCCCAGACCATGGCAGCAGTGGGACCCCCAGTAAGAATCTACCCAAGACCAAGCCGACACGACTGGAGCCCCCACCTGGGGCACCCCCAGCTCGGCCCCCACCCCTCACCAAAGTCCCTCGCCGTGCCCACACACTGGAGCGTGAGGTGCCGGGTGTAGAGGAGCTGCTGGTGAGTGGGCGGCACCCGAGCATGCCGGCCTTCCCTGCACTGCTCACCACAACTCCAAGCCACCGAGGTCACAAGACCTGCCCTGATGGTGAGTGTCCCTGGCAAGGTGGGAGGGATGTCCTGGGCACTCTGAGGTAAATCCCTGGGCAGCTCTTACCCACCACATTCCCGGACAGACCCCTGTGAAGATCCAGGCCCTCCCGCTCCTGTCCAGCTGGCCAAGAACTGGACCTTCCCCAACGCAAGGGCAGCCAGCAGTTCGTCTGACCCTTTCCTCTGTCCACCCCAACAACTGGAGGGGCTGACCAGAAATCCCATGGTGAGAATTGCAGAAAAGATGAGAAACAGGACTTGGGGGTTAAGAGGGAGTGACATGGGGAGACTAGATTCTTTAGTGATCAGTATGGGCATAGCACCAGGGAGGAGGGTTGGGGAAATACCCCCCTGATGTCCTTCTGGGACCCCACCCCCTGCCCTTCTCATGTACCCCTCTTGGAAAGGGTTTTGGTCCCTCTCCCAAACCTCGGTAGCATATATCTCTAAGGTACTCACTCAGTGTGAGTGCCTCTCAGGCTGGCCAGAGGTGGAGAGGAGTTCCTCCCAAGCTTCCCTTCCTTTCCCAGGCCCTGCCTGTGGACCGGAAGCCAAGCCTGGAACCCAGCCGCCCATCCCCTACGCCTCCAGGCCCAGCGTTTGGTGGTAGCCGCACTCCTAGCACATCGGACATGGGTGAAGATGGCAGAGTGGCCAGCGGGGGTGCCCCAGGATTGGAGACCTCAGAGTCCCTCAGTGACTCTCTCTATGACTCACTCTCCTCCTGTGGGAGTCAAGGCTGAAGCCTGGGCCACGTGATAGCCCCTCACGGGAGTATGGGGACCACAGCCTGGATTGGTTCTGCTCAGGCCCCGCCCCCATGGGGCCCATGGCGTCCGTCCCTGAAGGGACCAAGGAGGCAGGTAGATGAGGAGGTGAAGGGGGCCCCTGGCACACTCCACTGCGCACTGCTGCTGTGGATGAGATGACTGCACTCAGCTCAGGGAGAGACCCCACCCTTGGCCCCTTTTCTCACCCAGAGTAAGGCTCTTCTCCGGAGGGCTTGGGGGCCCAAGGCCACTGCACCCCTGCCCCCAGCTTCCATTCTAGGCTGAGCCATCTTGTGGTGCTGGGCTTGCTGCCCGCCGCCTGTGCCATCTCCACCCAGCCAGGCAATCCGCTGCCTGAAGCTACACGGCCCCCACCCCAGGCCATGCCACAGCCTTTGTGCTGGTGGATTTAGGGGCTGAGGGGGACAAATTGCCTTCTCTCTCTGTCTACCCTGGTCCTCCCTGCTGTCTGGATGGTGCTGCCCTCCCCGCCCCATATCTTTGGGGTTCGTTTGTCGTTTTTTGTTTTGTTTTTTTTTATATTAAAGCGCCTGGCCCAATCCTCATCCCCAAACCCCAAACTGCGGTTAATTTATCTGTCGTTAAAAATGTGGCTGCTCTGCTTCAAGCCTCTGCTTCTGCCCTATCCCTAATAAAACGTGGAGGCTCCTCCCTGTCACCTGACTTGGCTTGTTCTATGGGACAACTCGGAGATGGACAGATGGGGAGATGTTGCATGGGCACCAGGTTGCAGGACCCCAGGGACCTGGACTCTGCCCCAGACACCCTGGCGAGGCAATCCTCCAACCAGGGGAACTGTCTGGAGGCACCCTAAAGATAGCTAAGGATTAAGGCTGTGGGCCTACATAGGCCTGGATTGATACTGAGGTTCTCAAACCTGTCCTAGTTTAGGCTTGGGCAGGACTGAGGCTGGGCTGCCTCTTGCAGAGGAAGTGAGAATGACAGCCTGCACCTAAACCCAGCTGGCTAGGACCGGCAAACTCTAAGCTATAGAGGCTGGGGATAGCTGGAGTTACTTGGATCTTTATTGTGTTACAAAGCAAGAACAATTTTGCCATTGCTACCCTCTGTTCTCTTCTCACACTTCGGCTTTCCCCAGATCCTGGTTTTGCCTAGATTTCAACAACAAGTTCCTTTGGCTGGAAAGTTTTCAGTTTAGGAAGGGGAGGCCATGCAAGGGGAACATGTTTCCATTGTTTCAGACTCTCTTCATGTCATGGGGAAACCATAGGATGGCTGTGTCTTTCTAGCCTTTGGCTTTTCTGTTGGGCATGGAACTGGACAGTAGCCTGGAAGTGAAACAGGTGGCCAGCGCATCTCACATGGGCAGCCCATGTTGGGCCTAAGAAGGCTTCCTTCCTGTCCAGGTTGTAAGGTGTGGGGTGGGCTTGTCCAGGGCACCCACCTCACACAGCTGCACTTACTACCTCCTCGTGACATACGGCTTCCAAGGCCGTGTGCACACTCAGGACCTCCTGGCTGGGACTTTGGACGTGCGTGCCCACAGCAGGGGACTGGGGGTTCTGTAGTAGATACAGTGTGTCCTGCACTGTGTTTGAACCACAGGCTCACAGAACCAAGGTCAGGGGTGCCTGGACAAGCCCATTCAAAATTCAAGTTATGCCACTGGAGGCCAGTCCAGGAAGGCTGAGCTTAGGGAGGGTATCAGCACTGTTTTATGTTGCTGTTTCCACTAGTGTCTTCAGCCACCTGTGCTCCCTAAGAGCAGTGAAATAACCACCTCATGAAAACAAATACCTGCTATGCCGCCCAGCCTCAATAGCCCTGCCAGATGGAGTGTGGCTCATCATCCTCATTTTACAGATGAAGAAACCGAGGATTAGAAAAATTCAGTGATTGCCCAAGGCCAAGAAATGATGGCACCTGGCGGGAGCAGTTCCTTTTTTGGTGTGTGGCCTTGCTTTCTTCTGCCTGAACTTTAATCTCTCCTTTTGGTCTATGGGTCACTCCCACTAGAGAGGATTTGAGAGCACTGGACTGGACAGTAAGAGTCATGGCCACCAAGTCTGGGTTCTGGCTTTTGTTTTTTCTAAAACATCGTATTCCTTCTCCAGGCCTCAGTTTCCCTATAGAAAGTAGAAAATAGGAACGTTACTTCAGACCAGCTGGTCCCATCAGCCTTTTTCCTTTGCTGTTTCCTCATCCTCTATCTTCCTTCTGACATCTGTACCTCTAGTTTCCCTTAGTTGATACCATTATCAAAGAAGCTAACCAGACCTAGAAAGAGGCAAGCTAGGTATCAGTTTTATTTAAATGTTCAGAGTCTCATTCTTTTACCTCTAACTTCTCTACCTCTGGAGTTCTTGGGTGACACAAATGTCAAAACACTCAGCTACTAACTGGAAAGGGTGGTAGTTCATATTCACCCAGGGGAGCCTTGGAAAAAATGCCTGGTGATCCATTTCTGGGAATTTTCAGCCGCTGAAAATCCTATGGAGCATACAGGGTTACCATGAGTCACAATCGACTCCCCACAACTGGGATCTTCTCTTACTGCCCTGTCTGCTTTCATGGACTTGAGTATATTGGTGGCCGTGGAGTCAGTTCTAACTCATAGCGACCCTGTACAGAGTTTCCGAGGCTGTAAATCTTTATGGGAGCAGAAAGCCTCATCTTTCTCCTGCAGAACAGCTGGTAGTTTCAAACTGCCAACTTTGAGGTTCGCAGCCCGATTCGTAACCACTATGCTACCAGAGCTCCTTTTGAGCATATTACCAAGCTTCATATCTCTCTGCCTTTTGCCAGACAGAAGTCTATATCCTTCTCCTAACTTTTTATTTCTTGTTTTTTCAAGCTCTTTTCTCTGTTTGAACTTGACAGATGACTTCATTTCCTGTTAGAGCAGAATTGTTTGCCTGCAGGATATTTATCCTGTTTCCTTTTCGGAAGAAGCTTGGCATGGTGGGGTTGACTCTTGACTGTAACTCTTAGAAACTGAGACCAAAGGGTCAATCTGCATTCTTGTCACTAGGATCTGGTCATTTGCAACCTGGCACTGTTCTCTTGATATTTGTACGTGTACAGTGTTTCTGGTCATTGGGACAGGGTGGGCAGTGTGGGCTGGCTGGGGAGATGTTCTGTTGTCAGTCTCTCCAGGGTAGCATTGTTGTTAAGTGCCATCAAGTCGGCTCCATCCCCTAGCGACCCTGTATAGGGTTTCTGAGGAGCAGCTGGTGAGCTTGAGCCGCTGACCTTGCTGTTCAGACATCTATGCAGTCTGACACATTAGCCCACAGTGCCACACCAGGACTCCAGAGTAGCATAGCATCAGCCATACCTGGTACACAAAGCCTGCCAACAGTTCCAAGGTGGGGAACTCGCCTTAGTTTCCCCAGCGTACAACTAGGGGGCAACTGGGTTCAGACAAGCCATACTAGCAGCCATTTAACCATGTGTAGAGCAGACAGAATATTCCATCTGAAATGTGAAGGAGCTTCAAGAAGTTTGTGAAAACTGGAATTAAAAAGATAATGGAACATCCCTGAAACATCCATTGAGAGACCCATGTAGACAAGCTTCCCCAGCCTGCATTGAATGCCTTCCATATGGATTGCACCTCAATGTAAAGAAAACAAAATTCCTCACAACTGGACCAATACATAACATCATGGTAAATGGAGAAAGGATTAAAGTGGTCAAAAATTTCATGTTGCTTGGATCCACAATCAACACTCATGAAAGCAGCAATTAAGAAATCAAATTGCATTCGGTGTATCTGCTACACAAGACCTCTTTAAAATGTTCAAGAGCAAAGATGTCAGTTTGAGGACTAAGGTGCACCTGTATCAAATCATGATATTTTCAATTGCCTCATATTCATGTAGAAGTTGAACAATTCATAAGGCAGATTGTAGAAGAATCAATGCATTTAAATTATGGTGTTGGAGAAGAATATTAAAAATACTGTAGATTGCTAGAGGAACACACAAATCTGTATTGTAAGCAGTACAGCAAGAATGCTCCTTAGGACAAGTAAACCAGCAGCTAGAGGAACAGAAGATACTGCTTGAAAGAAAGAACAGCAGGAAAAATCAAAAACAAAAATGGCAGTCTGATTGGCAAGTCGTTCACCGGGGAGCTATCAAGGCAAGTATCAAGTCCCTTCAGGACAAACCCCCTTCCAAGACTGAAACTCAAAGGGAACACATGAGCAGGCTTGTGAGCTTGCTGGTGATCACATTAAGTCTACTGGTGAGTGGAAGAAGGTGAAAGGTAACAATGAAGATATGGCTGAGTTCGACCATGTTTCATAGACTCCTGTTGACCTGGAGATAAGAGAGGGGAGAGGAAGGGCTGCTTGCTCCGAAATATGGTGAGACCTGGGGACTCCTGAGGGCTAGAGCTGAGAGTGAAGCCTCTAGCTGATATGAAGTGAGGGGAGATGCACAAGGATGCCCACTCTTGCAGATAGTACCCATTCAACTAAACTTTGATAGCTTGGTGACCAGTACTCGACTTGTTGTTGTTGTCAGGTGCCATCGAGTCAGAACCGACTCACAGCGACCCCATGCACAGCAGAATGAAACAATGTCCGATCCTGGGCCAACCTCACTACTGCTGCCACGCTTGACGCCATCAATGATGCCACCTGGCTGATCCATCTTGTTAGGGGTCTTCCTCTTTTTCTCTGACCCTCCACCTAACCAGCATGACATCCTTCTCCAGCGACTGTTCTCTCCGGACAATGTGTCCAAAGTATGAGAGATGAAGCCTAGCCATCCTAGCCTCCAAGGAGCACTCTGGCTGCACTTCTTCCAAAACAGATCTATTGGTTCTTTTGGCAGTCCATGGCACTTTCAGTATTCTCCTCCAACACTACAACTCAAAGGCCTCAATTCTTCTACGATCTTCCTTATTCACTGTCCAGATCCCTTCTCCACCTACCTTGTGAGTTCCTTGACTGGTAGATCCCAGAGTTTTATCCTCTCTGG